CAAACTATTCATCATGAGGGAGTAATTCAAAAGGGCCAACATCAATATGTGGGACCCTGACTGTTCTTGTGACAAGTGCAATGGAAAATCATTAAGTTCCTACATGATGTCTTCCACCTAGAGTGCCATGTTACCACTTCTATGGCACATAGACTATTTTGAATTTTGGGATTCTATAACACTGTAATGCAGTTCTTAAAGACAAGTCCTGTCTGTGCCTCTCATAATAAACAGACTCAACCTTCCCCATTGCCTGAACTAGTACAAAGTCATGGATCCATCCCTGGAGAAGATTCACAAATAGACCTCACCCATATGCCTACATGTAAGGGGTACACACAGCTGCTGGTATGCATTGACACATTTAGTGGGTGGGCAGAAGCCACTAGATGGGACTTGAAGGTGATAAAGTCCTTTAAAAGTGACCCCTAGGCTTGGACTACCCAAGTCTATTCAGAGTGATAATAGACCCTACTTCATATTCCAAGTCACCTAAGGAGTCACCAAAGCATTGGGAATGAAGTACCATCACTACACTGTGGAGACCCCATCATAGTTGGAAAGCCTGAGTGAGGGTGATAAGTTCTTCCTTTTAGGTTAAAGACCCAGGAGGAAGTCTTCTTGCTTCAATATTTCAATATTTTCATAACAAATGAGAATAAAGATGGCTGTGGTCACTCTAGTACAAATTAATGAGGGCAAGATGCTATGAAAATATAAAAGAAGGGAGTATGAAATTTACTAGGATTATGGAAGAGGTGGCATTTCACCTGCAATTGTTTGAACTACATAGTTTACCAGCAATGATGGATTGGCACTGATGACAATGGCCATAGTTTGAAGCAAAGGCATATGGGCATCCTGAGCATGGAGAGATGGCATCCTTAAAATTCTTTGGTATGTAGACTATGAAGAGTCTGAGAGAATTAGCACTCTTGTGCCCATAAAGGCCTAGGTAAAAGGTTTTGCCATCTTTCAAGTTGAACCCAGATTATAGGGGTGAAGAAGGGGTATACTTCAATTCCCCTAAGTTTCAGAAAGGTTTCTATTGCCCTGCTATTTTGTGTGGGGAGGAAACAAAATACCTCATTGAAATTCTCTCATATCAGCATAAATTGAAAATAGCTTACAAGAATTGTAAATTGTTGGTTAAGAAAAATGACTGCCTCTATGAGCTCATCCCTTATTGATGGTTCTGTCACACAAAGTCTAGACAGCATAAGCAACAAAGGCTTTGGTCAGGAGTGAAATGCAGATGGGCAAGAGGGTGGATCCTAGAGTCTCCAAACACAGCAATTTCTTTTTGTGCATGCTATACAGAATTAATTATTTGATCATGGTAGAGAATGTACACATAATTATCAAAATCAAGGCATTGTTAGTTTTTTCCAGCCTTGTCTGTAGGAAAACATGCATAACTTTAAGATGAATGAAGAACTTTTGACTCAAAGATAGAACATCTAACCTTGTGTTACCAATGTAAGTGTCTAGTTCCTTGGACACTTAAGATTCTAAAGAGGATTCTAATATCAGCTAACATCTCAGAGTACTTATCTGGCCAAACTCACTTACTGTTAAGCGGGAAAAGCTGAGGCTCAAAAACAAAAAGGAATCAGGGTCAGGTACTCAAGTTTAAACGCAGTCATTATGGTCACCTAGACATCACCTCTGACTGGACAGACTTTTGTGATCATTTTTCCTATTTTCTATGTATCACAGTTTCCTTAACTGGGTGCATTAGAATGACTCTGGAGACAGTTTTGCCCATTTGGAAAGTAACATTTCTGCTATCCCTCAATATTCAATCCATTAAACCTTCAGTACATGAAGATATCAAGGCATCTGTATGTAGGCTAGGTAACGTGTTGCGTATCTTTGGTCGGTCAGTGAAGCCACTTCCCACTACTGTATTCTCATTTCCTATCACATTTTCTACAGCAGACATTCACTCTGCACTCCTTACTAGCCAGAGATCCTAGAAAGCTTTCACATGAGGCAGAGATAAGCCAGAACCTTTCCTTATTTTGTAATATTTCAATCCAACCAGCAAATGGGAATATACCAAGGCATCTCATGATAGGGTACATAATAACATCAGTATATTGTGGACATGATGAGATTAAGTCACAAAAGATTCTCCTTTGCATAATAAATGGAGACTGAGGCAAATACCAGATGACAGAACAATTCATTAGTCATGGTACACGGGCCAAAGACAAAATAGGGGCAGAAGAGAGTAGAATTACACTCAAATGCTTCAATGAGAAGAGTACTGAGGACTACATTAAGGTGCATTTCCTCTCCAGTTATGCTCTCGATGATATTGCTCTTCCTATAATATTCTTCTACAAAGAGTACACACATCTATCAAGGGGTTTATAAAAAGATGCATTAGCAATCAAAACACATAGGTCTGGCCAGGGATTTAGCTCAGCGGTTCAGTGGCCTGCCTCGCAAGCGCAAGGACCCGAGTTCGATCCCCGGTACCACACACACACACACACACACACACACACACATAAAAAACAAAAACAAAAAAAAACCCATATAGGTCTGATGTGTGCCTCAAAATATATGTCATCAAAACATATTGCATTGCATTCTCTTCTCACTTAGATGTGCATTAATCTAGTAAATGATCTGTAGAGTTACTCATTAGATAAATCCTTTTAATACTCCTGAACTATATTGGTTCTTTTCACCCAACCATGTTATTATTGTTTTGAATGTTGGATATGTTTGTGTTGATAGGGAAAACTCTTATATATGGCAAAAACCTATAAAGTGTCATAATGTAGAATGGCTTCTGCTGTCTCTAACAGCAGTTTGTTTTGATTAGTTCAGAATTAACAAGACACTGGAGGCACTAATTGCTGAATGAGGCATTTGGTCTGACCCTGAGATAACAGGGCACATCAAGATCTTGAGCTCTGAAGAGACTGGAGCCAAAGGATCGTAAAAATGTCAAGGTGAAAAGGACCATTGCTAACATTTGCTCCCCTGACCCTGAACACCCCCTCCCTACAGACTACAATAGATAACTAGGTGAATCTTAAAGGTAAACTCCCCTAGCTACAAAGAATTATATCTGGGTTGAAAGTTAACTATCCTGTGACTGTGATTTGAACTGTGAGAATGAAATGTAACCACCCAAATGAAGTCAAGGCTGTAAAACCCTATAAAAAGTTGAGTTGTAACTCAGTGGGTCATCGATCCAGGCACTGCTTATGTGCAATTGACCTTCGCTGATGAGTAAATTTGTTATTTTACTTCTATTCTGCTGCCTCTCTGTGTGTCACTTGCAAATTCCTTCTGTAACTGTGATATGAGAAACATGTATGTTAATTAAAGTAAGGCATACAAAAAGACTGGATCCCATTGGATCAGAGTGCCAAGAAATCTACTGAGAATAAAGCAATAAATGTACACCAACACCACTGAGATTTCAGTCTCTACTAATGTGGAAATTCAAGGTTAATTGTGGACATCCTTGTCATGTGGATTTTTCAACCAGCTGAAGTCTTAGATTTCAAATCATTAACACAGATAAATCCTTTTAATATTCCCTTTCAATATTCGATATTCTCCATATGTAAACAATGTCTCATTAGATATTTCAGTTGCCAGTGCTTTGATGTTGGATTTCTAGGCTTACAACTGTGAGAAATAATTATTTCATAAAGTTCTCTTTTTTTTTGGGTACCAGGGATCGAACTTGGGACCTTACGTTTGCGAGGCAGGCAGCAGAACCACTGAGCTAAATCCCTGGCCCACATTATTGCATAAAGTGAACAACCCTATGGTATTTTGGTTTGGTCTGCTACAATGCACAAAGACAGAGTCTATATATTTTGGTGAAGGGTAAGTATAGCAACAGCCATGGTAGGACCTAGACAGCAAAAAAATGTTTCCACTTGCTGATGCAACTTGATAGATGCACATGTCCTGGTTCATGTGTATATCTACTTCCTCTCCCTCACAAAATCACATAATCACTGCCATGGGTAACCAATGGAAATGCATGCAATGGATCATCATTTTAATTAGTATCAATACATCTCCTTGGACCTATGGCAATGATAAATGATTATGTGGAATTTAAAACTAAAGAAACCTGCAACAGGAAGTCTAGCTCCTAGAGACCCAAAGTCATCTTTATTTATTTTCAATACATCTGCTGATAAATCTAGGAAGCAGAAAAAGTATGAAATATCTCTAAATATTTAAGTATTAAGCTTTTTAGTGAATACGTTTGAAGTTCATGTTCATGTTCAACTGAGGGCGTATGATATGTATTTAACATTTTGATTCTTATGGTTTCTCTTCCTCTCCTTACCCAAATCCCCTTTCCCAATTTCGCCATCATCATCAATATTATTGTTATTATTGTGGGTAGTTGGTGTATGACATCAAATATTTTTACGTCCCCTTTTTCCCTTCCTTGGCCTAATGATCCCCTCCCATTTGCCAAAAGCTCTGTGTCCACATACATCCATCAACAGATGAATGAAGAAAATGTTATCTATACATAATGGTGTACTACTTGGCTATAAATAAAGGATAAATTCAAGATATTTGTAGAAAAATGGATATAACTTGAATACATATTTATTGTCAAGCTTGTTAAAGCAAACAAGTTTTAAGTGCTTTTAAAATGTAGAAAGTTCCTATAATACATATCTAACAACTTTCTGTCAAAACGGAATGAAATGAATGCATGCTGTCAATTGTTTCCAAATTATATCCTCCAAATGTATTTTACATTTCCAATGAACCAAGAATAAATTTCACTAAAATACTGAAAACTTTGTTTAACAAATTTCTACAACCTCTGGATCAATACTGAATATTTTCAGAAATAAATATGGTACAAACTAAATTATATTTGTAAAAATTGAAGGAGAGATCCTGCAGAACTCCATGAAATCAGTCATGTTATTTTTGCTAAATTCATTGTATTTATTTCATTAAACAAAAAATACAATCATTTATTAAAAGTGTACAGTGCAGTTTGTCACTGTTTATATTGTGAAATTAGCACATTCTTCCTTGAGAGCATTTGCATCATCCAGCACAATTACCTTTTGGGCATATGGAGAAAACACTAAAAACTTTTATCAAATTGTAATTCTATGTGGTGCTGTTATCAGTCACTGTAATCACTATAGGATTTATGCCATTTTGCATTCTATAAAATAAAAACTGTTTCTCATTAACATCTCTCAACTTCCCCAACCACATGTGTCAACTATCACTAAACTCACTGATTCTTCTGTTGTCAATTTTAGATGCTAGAAACATAATCAAGCTTTAATTTGTCTATGCCTGGCATATTATACATAATGACCTCTAGGTTAAACTACATTATCACAAATGAAAGGCTTTCTTTTAAAACTAAATAAAATTTCATTGTATGAATAAGCTTCACTTTACCCATACAACTAAATAATGGTTCACATGGAACGTGTCCCTTAAAGGCCATGTACTAAAGACTTGGATGCAAAGTGTTTTGTTATCCTGAATTTAATATTATTGTGCATTTTCCAACCTCATCACTGCATTCACAGACATGTTGGAGGAAAACTGCCTCTGCATGTGTGCTTTGAAAGTGTATCTCATTTCTAACACACCTCTCACTCTGATCCTGTTTTCTCAAATTCAGTATTTATGCTAAATCTCACTTTGAGTTTCTGCATGTTTCCTGATGTTACGAGAATCATAAAAAGCTTTCACACATTATTTACTAGGCTCTTTTCATGTTTTTCAAGGTAAGTGGAAAAATGGAAGAATTTCCCACATTTAATGCATACATATGGCCTCTCTCTTATGTGAATTCATTCATGAATTTGAATGCACTGAGGAAAAGAAAACATTCCCAACACTGTTCACATACATTCAGATTCTGCTCTATAGTCTTTCAAGTATGTACTAATACCTGTGTACTCAAAGTTTTTGTTTTTAATGTTGGCTACAAAGAAAAGGGCTTTTGTGCACTGTCTTTTGTTTTCAGTGCAAGTCACTTTGTATATTCAAAGTTAATTTCCTCTCTTAATTTTTAAGCATCTATGATTACTAGAATAACTGAAAGGCTTTTCCATACTGATTGCATAGTTTCTACACTGTGTGATTTATTTCATGTCTTTGACAACTCCTGTGTGTGCTGAACGCTTTCCCACACTGCCTACATATATAAGGTTTCTCCCCAGTGTGAGTCCTTTCATGTTTTTTACATTCACTGTGTGTGCTGAACGCTTTCCCACATTGGTTACATACATAGGGTTTCACTTTTGTGTGGATCCGTTCATGTATTTGACAAGAACTGTATGTGGTGAAAGCCTTCCCACAATGCTTACATACATAGGGTCTCTCCCCAGTGTGAGTCCTTTCATGTATTTGACAAGAACTTTGTCTGCTGAAAGCTCTTCCACATTGCTTACATATATAGGGTTTCTCCCCAGTGTGAGTCATTTTGTGTTTTTTACATTCACTATGTGTGCGGAAAGCTTTCCCACACTGCTTACATACATAGGGTTTCTCCCCAGTGTGGGTCCTTCCATGTATTTGACAAGAACTGTGTGTGGTGAAAGCTTTCCCACATTCCTTACAAACATAGGGCTTCTCCCCAGTGTGAGTTCTTTCATGTATTTGACAAGAGCCATGTGTGGTGAAAGCTTTCCCACATTGCTTACATACATAGGGTTTCTCCCCAGTGTGGGTCCTTTCATGTATTTGACAATTCCTGCGTATGCTGAAAGCTTTCCCACACTGCTTACATACATAGGGCTTCTCCCCAGTGTGGGTCCTTCCATGTATTCGACAAGAACTGTGTGTGGTGAAAGCTTTCCCACACTGCTTACATACATAGGGTTTCTCCCCAGTGTGGATCCTTTCATGTATTTGACAATTACTCTTCGTCCTGAAAGCTTTCCCACATTGCTTACATATGTAAGATTTTTCCCCAGTGTGAGTTCGTTGATGTCTTTGACAGTGACTCCATTTGCTGAAAGCTTTCCCATATTGCTTGCATACACAGGATTTCTCCCCAGTGTGAGTTTGTTTATGTGTTTGACAATGACTCTGTGCATTCAAAGTTTTCCCATATTGCTTACATACATAGAGTTTTCCTCCAATGAGAGTTTCTTCATGATTACCAAATGAAGTGTTATTATTTATGGATTTCCAACTGTGTTTATGGACAATGGCTTTTGTTCCAGTGTGAGTTCTTTCATGTTTCTGAATATCATGGTGAGAATTCAAATCTGTCCTCCATTGTATACAAGTATTCACCTTACTGTGATTTCTTTCCTGGATTTGAACAAAGTTGGGTGTACTGAATGATCTCACATTTCGCTTATACACAAAAGATTGTTCTTCAGCGCAATCATAGTAGCATTTTCCCCATTGCTTATATCCATAAGGTTTTTCTTCAGGATTTGTCATTGCATGTTTTTGCAAGGACTGAAAGTCAGCTGATGTTTTCCTATGTCTGTTACACTTAAAGAGCTTCTGTTCAAATCCATGAAGCACACATGATTTGAGTCCAGTGTTATATTGACAGCATTTATTTACCTCTGCACTTCTGTCAAAGAAAAAAAAAATAACAAAACAACTGGACATATATAAAAATATCTTTAAATTAATGGTTGACCAGAAAGAATTGATTTGATACCCCCTAAACATACCTGATCATGAATTTACTGTACACTTTGCATGATGGCTTCAAAACAGCTTTTACCAAAGCACTCTTCATTTAGGAATTTGGAATTGATATGTCTGCAATATGTGATGGTAACTTCCACCTTGTTTTATTGGTACCAGGGATCAAACCTGGGACCTTGCGCTTGTAAGGCAGGTGATGGCACGACTGAGCTAAATCCTTGGTCCCGGTAACTTTCATTTTGAATAACTGGTATGTGTGATACCATATATTATTTTTCACATCCTTTTTCCTCCATGACACTACCCCTCTCCATTTTACTGAGCCTCTTCACCCTCTCCAAAATGTCTGCTTCTTTTCTATCATCTTTCCTTTATTTCATTTAACTCATAGTTTGCATTTCTCATATAAAATAACATGTTATGTTGAACTTTCTGTGTTTATCTTACTCAGTGTATTATGGGTTCCAGATCCATGCATTTTTTGGTACTGGGGATTGAATTCAGGACCTTGTATTTGCAAGCCAGGCGGCGGAACTACTGAGCTAAAAATCCTAGCCCCAATCCATGAATTTTTTGGGAAATGACATAATTTCACTCTGCTTTATGGCTGAATACCGTTCCATTATATTTATACACCACATTATATTCAGTGCTGAACCCATGGTTTTAGCATTGAGCTACATTCTCTACATTTCTTTTGAGACTGAGTCTCATTAATAATTAAGTTGCCTAGCTGGGTGTGGTGGTGCATGCCTGTAATCCTAGCACTCGGGGAGGCTGAGGCAGGAGGATCGCTGTGAGTTCAAGACCAGCCTGGGCTATATAGTGAGTTCCAGGGCAGTCTCAACTACATAGTGAGACCCTGTCTTAAAAAATCAAAAAAGGGGGTGAAGGGAGGGCAGGGACAAGGGGAAAAAATGAGAACCAAGACTTGCCATGTAGAGGTACAAGATCCCAACAATGAATATAACTGTACTGTATCCCTAGAATGTACCAATAAACTCAATTAAAGCTGAAAAAAAAATTAAGTTGCCTAGGCTGAGTACAAATGTGTCTCAGCTTCCCAGAATGCTCCATTCTGCCCAGGCTATCCTATTTTTCATTTTTACTCATCTGTGAATGGGCATCTAGGCTGTTTCCTGAGCTTCACTTTTGTAAGTTTTACTATGAAAAACATGGATATGCACGTATCCATTTAATATGATTACTTTAACTTTGGAGGAATACACCCAGTAGAAGTGTAGCTAGGTAAAATGTAATTTCTATTTATACTTTCCTTGAGGAACCTCTATACACATTTCCATAGATGTTATACTACAGTGACATTCCCACCAACATTATGAAAGGTGCCTTCTAATATTGTATTCAGAACATAAAGAGACTGAATACTTTTGAGGATTGTTTGAAAACAGCTATTACCAAAACAGGGGTATTCATTTAGACTTTGAATAGTTTCTCAAGGTCATCAATGTTGCAAATACTGAGTATGTATGCTACATTTAAATACATATAGCGTTACCTACATATTTTGACAAGAAAGCAGTCTTTTAAAATATATGTATATGTAATTATATTTCTGCCACTTGGCTCTCAATTTAAAAAAATTTTAATATATATCGTTAATCAATGTGAACATACAATTTCATTTAAGAGTTTTATAATCTTGAGCATGAAAAATATGTCTATTATAATGCACTACATGTCACTGTGGAATAAGGTCAATACTCCCTACATTTTAGATATAGAGATATTTTAAATATTCAATTGTCAGATTCTAGATACTAAACATGTATTCAACTCTGGAGAAATTTTGTGTGATTAAAGAAATTTGAACATGGCCTCATTTTGTTTGGTTATTATTATTATTAATTTCTGAGACAAGATTTCCCTACATTGTTCAGGCCAGTCTCAAACTCAATATGTAGCATAGCCTGACCTCCAACTCCTACCAGTCCTCTTGCCTCAGTTGCCTAAGTGGTGAAACTGCAGGCACATGCCATCTTTTCTAGCTCTCTGTATTTTTTTTTTTTAACATGGCCTCATTTGTGTAGTTTACTTGGTTTTAGTATTTCAGACCTTTGAGGAATATTCTTGTAAGTGCAAATTACCTTAGATTATTCCTGTAATTTTTGTACTGATCTTCAATTTGCTGGTTGTCCCAGTTTCTTCCTAAGTGTAGAAAAAGAAATGTAATGATGAGTTACAACATTACATAAAATCATTATCTTCTAGTTAGATTCATGGTATAATGTGGCCATGTCCAGAAAATTTATCAAAAATATTTCCATGTTCCAATAAAGTAAACTACCCTAATGAATAATAACCAATGCTCCCTGATTGCATAAATGAGAAATTATATCTTCCTTACCTATAGCAGTCACATTTCTAAAGTTTTCCCACATCACATCTCTGTAGAGCTTCTTCTGGGATGGATCCAACAAAGCCCACTCCTCCATGGTGAAGTTCACAGCCACATCATCAAAGGTCACTGCCTTCTACATCATCAGAAATATATTTCCAGTAAAAAAAAGAGTCAGACTTACAACACAAAATATTTCAAATCTACTCATAAAAAGTTGAAATGAGGCTGAGTCCCGCAAATGTTTACTTCATTTTTTGGTCATCAAACACTTATTCTTTACTCATATGCACTTGTCACACAGGAATTTTGATTCTTGATGGTATTCAATGCTAAAGAAATAGCAGAATGGAAATATTGGTTCTCCTGCTGGTTAACCCCAGTTTTATTTCTGCACTGTCTGTAAAGCATAGTTCGTGGAGAAAGCCTACTAGATCAAATGTGGGGTGAAAAAGATCTAGGGTAGATAAATATCTAATGACTTGCTATAACAACATAGACAGTATATCTGTTTTCAAATTATTATTCAGGAAATAAATCCCTTCTGCCTCTGATTGTATTTAGACAGCAATGTAAACTTGAAAATGGTTTCATAAAGTTGTAATTAAACACAAAGTAATATTCACAAATGATAATTTAAAATGGTAATGAAAAATATAGCATTCACTAGAGAATGTCTAACAATGAAATTAGATTAAGGAAGATATATTATCTTATAGCATATGAAATGCTTATCTGTTACAGGGATATAAAATTTTGTAAGGTGTAAGAGAAAAGGAAATGTGGGAATGGATCAAACAATTGCATGTCGTGCCCTTGACCACAGGCTGGAGCTATGTACCCACCTCAGGTAGAATAATGGGACTGAGTGCCCCTCCCCACCATACACTGTGGCCCATAGGCCCAGCCCAGGGACAGCCTCAGGACAGACTGGTCAGTCTGAAATTGAGGACACATGGTAAATTATATGGAAGTACTCAAAGAGAACACAAAAGAGGAAAAGACCATTCAGCAGCTACTACACAACTCTAAAAGAGTGATGTGAGGCTAATTGGAATTATAGAAAAACTAGAAGATAACAGATAGAATTATTAATGTTTACAGAAATCATAGTAGAAAACATTTAAAATAGAACTAAGTGAAGTTTAGAGGACATCAAAAATATGATGAAAAAAGAAGTTTACAAGGCATATCCTCATTATACTGCCAGATATCCAAAAACCACAACAACAAAAATTTAAAGCAGAGAAAAACAAAACAAAACAAAACAAAAATCACCTATAGAGGTAAACCAATTAGGATTACAACAGACTTCTTAACACAAACCTTAAAGGCCAGAAGAGCTTGCAGTGATGTATTTCAAGTCCTAAGAGTGAATAACTTCCATTCTAGTTTAACTTAACCAGCAAGGCTGTCTTTCAAAGTAGATAGAGAATTAAGGATATTTCATGAAAAATATTAGCTCAATAGACATATGAATGCTAAACTGGCATCTCAGAAAATACTCAATATCCTAGATAGAAACACTGAAGCCAATACATAGATACTCCTTGTTCAATAACGTACCTGTTTTAATGTCGGACTTACAACTGAGGCACATTTTTTCTGACATGATTCAGCACTCAGACTTATGACTCATTTTTTTGGGTACAGTTCTGTATATATTGATAGAGTCTCAATGTCTTTCTCTGACAGTATACCTAGTTTACACAATACTGATTTTTGCTGATTGTACTGTATAGTAAAGTACTATAATTTTTTCTTTTGTACTAGGGATCGAACTCAGGTTCTTGCATTTGCAAGGCAGGCAGCAGAACCACTGAGTTAAATCCCTGGCCCTGAAGTACTATAATTTTATGTTCCGTTATATATTACAGTACTGCATGTAAGAGTTATGCAAATAAAAGCAAAATCACCAGGTTGGAGTTTCCTTTGACCATTTCTTTGTCCTGAATATTGTAAAGTACATATTGTACACAATTCCTCCTTTAGAAACCCATTCATTGAATGACTTAATCACAGGAACAGGGCTCAGTCATTAAATGAAGAATGCACATAGTCTATTGTATTTTAGGCATATTTACTAAGCATGTTGTGAAGATAAGCACCACATTCATGAAAAAACAAGTCTTCAAAATATGTATTATTGATATGTCTGATACCAGGAACCAATAAACTACCTTATATATGTTGGATATTGAGACACAAAAAGCAATTGCAAAAAATATATGGTTTCCCTGTGAGAAAATGGGTCTCCTTATGAGACCCATTGATCACATATGATACAGGCATTACAGCTGTTACAAAGAGTCAGAAAAATTTATTTGTGCACTCTTTCTACTGGGCTCAGTTCTAAGGACTTATGTGCTTCCAATAGTTCCTCAGGGGATAATAAAGCTGATTCATGTGGAGTTAAATACATTCTCAAATATAAACAAATTTTTTAGAAGTAATGTTACCTTTCAAACTTTTTGATATCTATGTCACATATATGGATGCATATATTTTTTCAAGAATTATATATACAATTCTGAAGAGGAAATAATTGAACAATTAATTATTACTGCTATTCTTGGCTCTGTGATGGTTTTGTTTAATTTTTGTCTTATACCCCTGGATAGTAATTTCCTTTACTACATGTTTTATATGTCTTTCCTCCAATGTGTTTACTGCACAGGTGGACACAGCAGTGGCTTCATTAATGCCAGTTTCACTGTCAAGGATATTTGTCATTTGCAGTGAGTTTTACAGAGTAAAGTAAGTTCCTGGTTCTATGATACCTTATTAGTCATATTTTAGTTTCATTTGTTCCTTGCAAAGACTTGCCAAAGCTCCATTATTAATGAACCAAACTGCATTTAAGACACAGCTTCTAACAATATAAACTGTGATCAATATAACCTTGAAGAATTCATGGAAACTGCTAAGATGTCAGGAGAGAGCATGTGAGGAAATACAGAACTGGATGCTATTAGAAAACAGTAGGCACAAAATTTAATCACGACACCACCTGGATGTACTACAATTCTGACAAATTCAGAACCCAGTCCTACTATAATCCCTCAAGTGCAGAATCCAGAACAAAGCATGTGATTTTTCATCATGAGTTATCATCCTGAAGTTATCAAAGGGTAGCACAATGAATCATTCTAGATGTAAAAAGGGAGATGCTGCCTCAGATTCCTTATGATAAAAACAGACATGTCTATTTGTGATTGTATGACAATTTTAGATTTTATGTTCCTGAATATGGGAAAATGACTATTATTTTTTAAAAATCTTTATCCTTGAAGTCATTTTCATTTTAATGCAACTAATTTCAAATTCACAGATTAT